TATATATATATATTATTTAGAACAAAATATTTATAAAAATTATAAACAAAATTGTACTTTGGATCTAAAATCTAAATTTTAACTAATTAACGGTAAATTAACGGGTAATCATTCATTGAAAATTGAACTTTGTTAAAAGTCCTAATAAAAATCGTACAACACTCAATGCAACAGTCTTGTAAATCACACGAACAATCGAGATTATCTTAGCTAGTTACAGAGTCATCCAACAAGAGTTATGCAAAGTTGTCCAGACGTAATTTCGAAACGCATCCATGAACTCGACCTAACGTTGACATGTGTCATCTTGAGATGTAGGTAATTTAGTGTGATGTGTCACATGGAGCGATACAACATTGAATCACATGTGAAAATTATTCAAACATTTTATGAAAATTCGCAGAATGTGAAATCAGAATCACATTCCGAAAACTTTGTGATTATTTTGGCCAGCATAACCGCCCAATAGAGCTCATATATAGCCGCAATATATAGTGAAAAAATTTGAGGAATGAAATTGAGATTGCTGAGATTGAGCCGGTAATGTATCAAAATGACAAAAATTTGACCGAGCGTATCAAAGTCTGCAAGAAGAATCGAAGTAGTTATTTGGCCGATATTCAAATAATTTTGGAATAGTCTACTAAAGATTAAAGAGATATTTTGTCGAGAGAGAGAGAGAGAGAGAGAGAGAGAGAGAGAGAGAGAGAGAGAGAGAATGAAAAAGGATTCTACCAAAAATTATGTGTTTAAAAAAAAATTTGTATAACTCTTGTTGGATAAACATATATACATTTTAATACAACAATCTAATTTTTTGGTACAAACAGTCAAAGACAATACTAAGGTCTTTTAAATATGTCTTAATATTACAAAAGTTGTATTCTGTTAGTTATGTCAAAAATTATCTTTTTCGTTACGAGATTGGTAGTGTAACTAACTTAATTGTAATAACTTAGTTGTGTTCTGTAATGGATTAGCTGATACTGCGATTTCCATTTGTATTTTTCAAGATAGTGGCGTTTTTTTTTATTAACTTTTTAATATAATAGTTTATAGTTATAATTATTTACCATTATACATACATATTATTTATTAAAATATTTTATAATAACAATTTTGACTTTAGAAATTTAGAAGACTAGTTAAATAAATTCCAAAGAAATATATGAAGTTAAAAGATGTTTTTATTATTTATTATTTAATTAATGAATTACATTAAATGTTTTATTGTGCATTGGTGCATAATAATAAAATTTATTATATTTTAAAGTATATATTCTTTAATATATAAGTGAAGTATATATATTCTGAAGTACAGAAATATAATATAGTTTTGTGCAAAACAATGTGATCGTATTTTTTTATTTATATATGTTTGTACGTTCTTAATTAATTATTACAATAAAAAATAAAAAAGCACCTCTCTCCTAAACAACACAAATGAAAATCACAGAATCAGTTGATCCATTACGAAACAGCTAAGTTATAGTTACAACGATACCTGCAACCCCATTTACCAACTAAAAAGATAATTTTTGATAGCTATCGAAATACAACCAAAAGCGTATAGAATTAACAGATGAATGACTTTACGATAAAATGTCTTATGTATCATTTTTCAATAATTCACTCACATTCAGTGCATTTTAAAGCCGTTGTACACAAATCGACGTAAAGACGTGTGTTTAATAAAATTATAGAAACAAGTTAAACCATGAAATCCTCAATACATTTTAATGTGTTATGATAAATACATTTTATTGTGTTTTGATAAAACATACATTGGATATTTTATCAATTGAGATGTTTCACTATTACATTTAGATTAGATTAGTGTACAATGGCTTTAATGCGTTGCACCGAGTGCGTAGTTATAAATAAAAAATGCTCTCAGATATTTCACGTGTATATAAACTTCATGTTTTATTAAAAATTAACATACGATCTGCATGTATGTTGATGTATAAAACTGTGAGGTCTATTAATTTACTTTTAATAAATAAAAAAAAGCTATTTCGAAAAAAAATCTTTTGGGAAATAGAAGTTTTTTCAGATGCAAAATCCAAGTTATTGTGACTTTTTTATACGCATGAGGATTATCCTAATATGTACATATAGTGTATCCGGTATTTATAATCGATTCTCATATTTAATATTGTCTTCAGATGTCATAAGCCAATCACATAGCCGCATTAGTATCTTAAGATATTATTTAACATGTCAAAATAACTGACTATGAATTTCGCCCTATATCTTTTAATACAATAATTAATTATTTGATGCAAACAATTCAATGTGATAAACATCCTAAAATATTTAAAAACATCCTAAGATTATAAAAACATTGTAAACTAAAAAAAAAAAAACGATTTTACGATCTTTAAAACATGTCATATTGACTTATAGCATTTGCAAAATATCCTATACAAATAGATCTTATATTTCACCTATCAATAAGATCAATTTTAAACGTGCATATGTTGATATTATGTACAGAAATGTCTTCTTTTTTTTTAATTTTAATACTCTTCGAAGAATGAAATTCTCAATTATTAATAAATTTATGATACAAAGTATTTTAGCAATATAAATATTTTGTCGGAGAATGCGTTAATGTTTAAAAATAAAAAATTTATATGCTCATTAATTCAGTTAAATAATACAATATTATAATAATATTACTATTATTTTGTATCTGAAGTATTATTACATGTATTACTTAATCGAATTAATAAACTATTATCCTTAAATATTGATATATCTTCCCAGAAAATATTAATACATATCGTAAACGTGTGAAACAGTTCAAAACAGCTATATACATAAGTTGTATATGTATACGTTAAACATATTTCTCATCGAATACAAATCTTATATTTGCCAAATTATAATTTTAATTTAATCCAAGTCTATTTAAATACGAAATTAGTATAATTAACTGTATTTATTATATTATTTATATTTCTAATTAAATAACTAATATTTATATATTATTTCATATTTCATATTATGTTTCTATATGTACTAATATGTATATGTATATATCTTCATATAAAATACAAAGATTTATATTATTTTAATAATTGTACTTTAAAGAGAGAAAATAGAAATAGTAAAGTTTAAAAAGAATGAAACGAATAGAGTAATATTTATGCCAACGCGTCAGCGGATCGTTCATTTTCAATTTAATCAAGTCATGTTTGTTCATTCGCATACGATTTCCAATGAATAACATTAAATGCAATGTATAGATTTCATATACCCATTGACCTACAATTTTACATTTTCTCTAAATATATATCAAACAGTAATAATAATAATAATAATAATAATAATAATAATAATAATAATAATCTCTATATTTATCTAATATATGTAATATAATAATGTAATATAATAAATCAAAACATTAAAATGTTGTTTTCATTAGAACGTTAAAATATCATTTTTGTTAGAATATATAATAAAAGTAGATACGTTATCAGCAGATAAAACATTCTTCCGATATTTTGACTTCAGTTGACATTCTTCGAATTTCCGATTATTTCATAAAAACACACATTAAAAAGTTTTAACCAGAAGTAGTTAAACCAAGAATCTTACATTTTTACGCGTTACTGTTCGTCTCATAGAATGTTTTATTATTAATTATTAATTAATTAATAATTTACCATAATAATTATTAACTAGTAATTTATTATAATTTTAGTGTTATTTGTAGCGCGTTTTTTTTTATCTTAAAGCTTAACACCACATTCTTGTATTAGGAGAATGTTAAGTTTGATTGTCTTTTGGCTAACACAAATAAGTTTCACATGCTTTTGCCAGAAAAATGGGAAAAATAACAGAAAACAATAGAAAGTATACTGATTGACGTAATTCATATTCTTATTACAGTAAATACATTTTTCAAGCAAAAAAAGATGATGAAAACTAAGTTTAACAAGTTTTTCAATACATTAACCTTATAATATGATATTGGATTGAACATTAAAATTATTATTAAAGTTTGTCAATTTAATTTAATTTGTGATATTATTCCAGTAGTTTAATTGCGTTTGTAAGTCCGGAAAACCAATTCGGCGCGCAGTTGGAAGGAAATTGGTAGCAGTAGCTACTAATATGGTATATATACATATATATATATATATATATATATATGTAGTATATACATATATAATTCACATTGAATCGTTTAAGCATTAATGATTTAACTTCGGCCGAAATATAGGCTTGAATATTCTTGCTTAGTATTTATTACATTACTTAATAAAATCATTTGCTAAGTTTAACACTAAAATATTTGAAAATATTTTTATTTACATTCGAAAATGTTTCCTCTTTTAAATATGACCATTAGTTTTTAATTTTGGACTTAGCAAAAAATTAGAAAAAAATTTCAAATCTTAGTAAGGGTTCCAGTTACTTTACATAGTAATTATTTTAGTATACAATGCATATAAAATATATACAATCATTTGAAATTTTTTTTGCACGAGAAAGAATACTACTGATTAGTGTTTTAACCTGTTTTACCTTGAAAATTCTTGGAAATTGTGAAGATCTATTTAAATAACTTTTAATTTTCCTCTATTATACATGCGAGCATTGTCTGTAATACTAGTCTCGTTACCGTAGCGCAAAGTTTAGTCTAGAAGATAATATTTCAACTTATATTCTTCAAAAATATTAAATTTCTACTTCATATGTAACATTAAAAGAACGATCAAATAAATATAGTCTGGCTGATGTTTATGTCGATGTATATGTATATAGATTTACGTTTCTCTTATAGATATTTCTTTAACTGATAAGTGTGATAAGAGCATATAACGTCATATGTTTTAGAGTTTTGCTGATCTACATTCCGTATAACAAATAATTACATTAATAGCGATGAATTCATTATGTCGAACATTTTAATGGTTTTAAGGCAGAAATTTTCCATCTTTTCAATTTACGGCACAAAAAATTATAATGACGCATATGTTATTATCATTTATAATTCGATGTTTTTTACTGGCTTCGTCGATTCTATTAACAAAAATTAAAATTAGCGGCACATATTAAGTGACGAGGCAAATTTTTCGAAGTATATCATTAGTGAACATGCTTTTTTAACATAGACTTTTTAATTAATATTATATACAAATAAAATTCTGAAATTTGTATTTTTATTTTACTGTTTTAAAAGTTTTTGTAATGATGACGTTAAAATAATATATATATATATATATATATATACTTTGGGGAATAAGAAATACAATATAAAAAGTATCTAATCTGAATAAGGCTCATCTAATTAATTTTATTTTTTTCTAATTTTATTTATGGAGATATTAAACTAAGCTAAGTAAGAATAAAGTCTTTACTTCACTCACTCACAAAAATAAAATTTATTTTTCATATAGAATATTTATTATAGAATATAATATGGCCCAAATTATTAAGAATTTTCGATTTCGTAATTGCGGACTTCGAGTTTCTAAATTGCTATAATTAGCTTTTTTTTACTAGAGACAGAAATAAATGTATATATTCTTATTCTAGATTTTATTTTTCGGAAATGTGATTAATCAGCTGCAACAGAGTGTTAGGTGGAGCTCTTCTTTGAGAACTAAGGATAAGAATTCTGTACCGCAACGTTTCTTTAAGGTATTCACTTATTACAATAAGAGTAATTAAGTAAAATGTAATATAGATGAAACTGAAAAAATAATTTATTTAGTATGTTTTTATCAGTATGCAGATTTATCTGTCCGCCTCGCTGGACCAAATCAGTTAAATCCTAAACCTGATGTTAATAAGCTTTCATTTGGGAAATATTTCACTGATCACATGCTCAAAGTACATTATTACGAAGGCATGAATGGTTGGCAAGCACCAGAAATTATGCCTTTCGAAAACATAGTTCTTCATCCAGCAGCGAAAGTACTTCATTATGCTGTGGAGGTATTTATATTTTGTATTTTGAAGATGACATGTGAGATAGTATTAAAAAAATTAATTTATTTTTATTGATTTATCTCTTATTTTTTATTATATTATTGTGTTTAACAAATTCCTTTTGTACTTATAAAAAATATTGTTTTTAATATTTAATTATGTACATATCATCTCAGTAGTGCTTTATAATGTTAATGGCACACTCTTGTTTTAATAATTTAGCATAATTTAAAATTAGATTATTATTTTTCTTTCGTAAAACTGAGAAGTCTTCTTTAATATAAAATATATCCCATAAAAAGATATATATTATCTTGAAATTCTTCTGTCAAAAATATTTAATACCGATAATCGCTATCTTGGAGGATATTTTACTATCTCTGTGAAATTAGATTTAAAAAATATATAATATATATTTAAAACTGTAGGATATGCAAAGATTATTAGATTTGTATACAACATGTGTATACAAATTATTGTGGAGCTAAAATTCCTTGTGTGATTTAACTTATGCAGTAGTAACATATGTATAAATCTTTTTTCAGTTGTTCGAAGGTATGAAAGCTTACAGAGGTGTTGATGGCAAAATAAGGTTGTTTAGACCAGAGTTAAATATGGAAAGAATGAATAATTCAGCAGTAAGAGCTGGTCTGCCACCTTTCAGAGGGGAAGAGTTAATTAAGTGCATTTGTAGATTAATTAGCATAGACCAAGAATGGGTTCCACATTCTACCGCCTCTAGTCTTTACATTCGTCCTACGCTCATAGGCATTGACGTGAGTACTATTTTATTATTAAATATATCATCGAGTATTCTGCTAGTATTTATCTCATTAAAATTTAGGTATTAACTGCAAAAAGGTTAAACTTCATGAATGACTTCCACTCCTATCTAAGGGTGGACCTCTTGCTTCTTGTGGAAAGTGAATGTAATCGGGAATATAAAAATTTAATACTTTAAAATATATCTCAGAAACACTAGAAGAGTCCGCCACGTGATTCAAAGTGTACGTAACTTAGGATTATATCGACTTTAATTAATTTATGTAAAAATCAAAAGTCGTTGGTAAAGTTTAATCTTTTCGCAATCGTAATAATTACCAAAGTTTACATTGTGATGCTATTTTACAATAAATGATGTAATTACGAGGGTCGTTTGAAAAGTTTTGAGCCTCAATATGAAGATAGCATTATTCGTCAAAACCATTCTGGTGTATTACAATCGTACATGTTTTACGAGAAATTGTAATTATTTTGGACGCTAAAAGTTGTTGTTTGAGAATCATTTGTGCCAGTCGATGTCAGTGTTTTCGTTTGATGAAAATCTGTGTCCTTCGAGCCTAACTTTGAACTTAGGAAACGGGAAAAAGTCATTGGGAATCAGATCTGCTGAATACGGTGGGTAGTTAATTAATTCGAACTGCAATTAATAAATTTTTGTTATGGCGATCGTCGATATTCCATTTTATCTGATTTTTTTCGATTTTTAGAAAAACACTGATATCGATTGGCAAATGACTCTCAAAAATAACAACTGAGCGTCCAAAATGACTACAATTTTCATAGGTATCTTGCAAAGCATATGTATGTATATACGATTGTAGTACCAGAATGGTTTTGACGAGTAATGCCATCTTCATGTTGAGGCTCAAAACTTTTCAAACGACCCTCGTATATACGTGGCCAATTGTACATTAAATCACAGACATAATCAGTGTGAAATTATTGCGGTATTATTTACGTCATGGACTACTATATGTATACGTGCACAAGAGCAATCATATTTCTCAATGTTTAATGATAATATATGATAAAAACAGAATCACAACTTTCTTTTGGCATACCGGTTACATGTTACACACGAAACGACGCATGCTCCTACAATCATATTATTTAGATACAGTATCGAATTATTATTCAAATACTTTTCTTTCTTTCCCTTTTTAATAAATTTTATATAATGTAATATTTGGACGTTACTTTTATGAAAATCAGTTCTTATCACATCTTAATATATAATTATAAAAGACCTATTTATTTTTTATTACATATTTAATCTTTTGTAATTTTTGTAATTATTTATTTAAGTAATATATTACTCAACGTATCTTAACTATATCATATATGTATTTTAACTATCGCATTAATCCGACATATGAAATCTTTTTTATTTAACTTTAACGTTTTAACTTACTGCTTGCAAGATAATAAGTGTTGCCTCAGAGTATTTATTAGACTTTACGATAACATCGCATTCTTCTTTTTATCATAATCGATTTTCGTGACCTTCTTGAGATATGACACACTATTTCTGATATTAATTCTGAAAATAAATCGTAAATTGTACGTACAGTGATCGATGAAATAAATTAATGTAATAATATTGATTAGCAATAAATTTTTGAATTGTTATGATTAGGGATGCATCGGATATTCGAGAAGACAATTCCTACACTTAAATGTGTATTATTGATAATTTCAAAAATCTTATTGCGATAATATATTGTTATTCAACATTGAAAATAACTAGACAATAGGTCAAAATGTTTGTTTTTAATCATTGTATCTGATTTTATTATTAAAAGGTTCCAATTAAGAGCACACGAAAACCAGCATTAACTCAATAGGCATTGATTCTACGTAGTACATATAGTTCGAATTTATCTAGTCTTTTTATATTTATCATTATTTTAGATTCTAGAAAATCTTATATACATTCACTTGTAGATATTTTGTACAAATGACTTCCGTAAAAGAGAAAAATAGGAATATATATATACACTTTATCCAAATTACGCAAATATTAATACTATATATGTGTATATTTTAATAAAATAGTATGAAATAAATGAAGTTTATTTCATATCTAGTATGCAAAAGTAATGAAACAAAAAGAAGTTTTATTCGAAATTAAGAGTTTATTCGATATATTGCCATTTTAACATTAAATATCTTTCCAGAATGTGTGATGACCTATTACTTTTTTGTGACCATTACAATCGTAATTTTTTTAACTATTATAATCTTATACGTATTTTAAAAAACTCTATGATAATGTTTGTGTGTGCAATTAGAAGAAACGTCTTCGACTCTTATCTATCACTATAGGTTATATGTTAAAAGTTACATCTTCAACTTTTTTTTCTCTCTCTCTTATTTGATTGATAATCTACCCTAGAATTTTGCACACTTCAAGTTCGGTACCTTAACTTCATTATATGTTATATTAAAAAATTAGACATTTCTCTATGATAACTCTATTTACTGTAGAACGTCGTCGATCATCAGTAACCGTTGAGATCCGTGTTATCTCTGCTTTCTTTGAAGACAGAAAGAGGTGCAACGAAATCACAGACCTTTAAACTGTCATCTTTCGGCTACGAACCGAATGTATGGTCTATGTATTTATACAAGATGTACCGCAATTTTTGACAAAACGTCGTTTGGTAGATAAAACGGACCAAACTGAGTCGAAGAGTCCTCCATCATTTTGCAATTTTTTCGAGATTAACATCTCGTTAACTATTGCAAAAATTGCAAAATCGTAGAGGATTTTTCAACTCAGTTTAAAGACACAAGAGCGCTTTGTAAAAAATTGCGGGACACCCTGTATATCATTGATCTATATATCATGTCATTACATTAAACTTAATTTAATCCCCAGAAGAAATCGACTTTCTAATACAATGTTTAAAACACTACTGATTTTTAAAAAGCATATGACAAAAGACAATTATCCAAACATTTTTGTAAGTGTGCTATATAAGTAGTAGTTTGACGTAAAATACAATTTGTTTACGCAATTTGTTTTTCTAAATAAAAAGTATTTTAAAAAATAACTAAATCTTTCAGGTACTTCTGTACTATATCTATACCTAATTTATTTTACCTGTAATTTTTTTTTAAATTTAATGTATTTACGAGTATACCTATAACTAGGTACTTTTCCTACATAGTACCTGTGTCTATGTACCTGTGCCTAAATACCTTTCAAAATATATCTGTTACAACACTATACTCTATATTAAATAATGTTTTAACAATATTTTGAATACATACGCATATAAATTAAAAAATTATTTTTATATTACTCATTGTCAGTAACGAGAATAGATTGAAATGAATTCAGATGTTCAGAAATACATATTTACGAATAAAAATAAATTCTTTTTAATCCGAATGCATTTTTATTTATTTATAGGAATTGCATGAAACGCATTTCTATGCTTTTCAAGCATATAAAGATAATATTAACTTTTTTTCTGTGCATCATGTATTATGTATTGCTCAATTCACAATTCTGAATAAGAGAGATGCAGTTTTTCAATTCAAATGAATCCAGTTGAATCAAATGGAATCCAATTGAATAAAAAAAGTTCTTCAATTGGATTCAATAGAACAGAATAATGAGAACTAAATAAATAAGACTAAAAAAAAAAGAATAAGATAAAAAGAAAATAAGACAAAAAAAAATTTTTTTTATTCAATTGAATTCAATGGGCTTAAAATACGCATAAAAAATTTAATCTATTTTAATCCATTCTCGATTACTAGGTATTAACTAGTACATAAAATAAATGTAAATTTGAACTGTTAACAATTAATTGCATGCATGTATAAAATGTCCTTTTAACTGTGATACTACAGCCTTAAAGAACCAAAAATGGGCCACGAGCGAGTATTAATCATGCTATTTTGCAGGTATTGTTATATACGTTAGTAGAATATATCCTATTCATGAAAATATACAAATTTACACAATGATAAGCAAATCGGAGAAGAGCGTTATACTACACATTTACTAAAAATAATTTTCGGGATGGGGAGGGGCTAAAAAATTTATAATTATGACCTGTTTACCATTATTATTCACTATTCATTATTAACTCCATCAGAATTACTAGAAATTCACTGGAACATAAAATGATACGAAAATGTCTTTTGTATGTTAAAATTATAATTTTGTTCTTGCATTTTTGTATGTTTATACGTCTTAAATACAGGGAATGAAAGTATGCGTTTTACTTGTTAAGGTGGCCCTACACGGTCAATAATTCTGATCAATAATATTGAATCAGTAATACTGATAGTATGCATTAATATTTTTAGTATTTTTAAAACCTTACACGATTAGTATTATTATTGACTAATATTTCTCTTTAGTTTTATATTGTCTATTGTACATTATCTATTGTACTGTATCATATATGGATCTCAGTAAAGCGATATTGATGGTCAACAATCCAAATCATCGTTACTCTATATTCTACGTCAATTTATTATTAATATTACAACCGCACCACGATAAAAATAGACAAGGTATGTTCGTGACTAATCGTAAGACAAGTTTGCGCATACAAACTATAATTATAGAAAAAATAAGAAAAAAAAAAACTATAAATAAAACGAATGTAGGAAACTTCAAACATGTAAAATGATATAATATTATTAATAATATATTCATTATTATTTAAATTACACAATTTACTAAAGAAAGTCGTGAGAATTTTATTCTTGCATTTACAGAATTCGTTTTTAGCTGATTTTATATAGAAACGAGACATTAGATATTAGATCGATATTAGAATTACGAGTTTTTATTTCTTTAATTATCTAAACATCTAAACAGATCATGTTTTTAGCAGTATTAATAAAGTGCAATGTTTAATTTCCAAGAAATAAAAGGATATTCTTTTAAGCCGGAATCAGACTATGCATTGAAGATAGAGATTGAAAATTGAAATTTGACCAATAAGGACAAACAAATTTTAGCTCCTATTGTTTTGATTGGTCACATTTCAATCTTCAATCTCAATCTTCAATACGTAGTCTGATTCCGGCCTTAGAAGAGCAGTCAGTGAGCAAAAAGATATATGAAAAATATGTATAATAATATGTATAATTCATTACATAATTATTCCAGTTAGATGTTATTCTGTGTATTTAAATCTTCAGATTCATTTATGAAAGAAATATATTGGAACAATACGTGTCTCATCTTTTTGATATCTATTATATCACAACTGAATCTTGCATTAACATTACAGTGTTCGTGGATTATTGAAGTAGCAGTTTCCGTACTCGAGATCAAGCAGCACTAAATGTGATACAGCTTAGGATGGTGATGACATCATGATATTAATTCCCTAATTCAGGGAAAAATTTTTTTTTATTTTACCGTGTGTATTCTAGAATTTTATGCTAATCGATAAGTTTTTCTTATCGAGTTTTCAGCAATAAGACTGGATTAATTAATTTCATATCTTTCAGTTTTTCTAGGAGTGTTATATTTATATTATATAGCTGTAATTTCCAATGAGTGAGAAATTACAACTAACGTGTACATTACATGTAACATATACGTTATATTACCTGTTACGTTCTGTTTTATTAAAGCAAAATAACAATACATATTTGTGTTTGCTGGGTAATCAGCTGTTTCGGAGCGCTGCTTCGTTCATAGTTATGCAATGTCGAACTATGAGCGTTCCTTTGCTGGTTACGCATTTGTACATGAAGTACAGCGGAGTGGAGGAATTTTGTCAGCGAAGCTTCGCTACATGAAACTGTGTCTTATTTACACAATTGGCTAATATCATGTATGGTAATATTCATTCTCTATCAATTTCCTTTCTCCCCATTATTTCACTCCATTATTATTTCCTTCAATTTTCTCTATAAATATACATATATAGAAGTCAAGTGTGTTCGCTCGTGGCCCAGAACAATTAATAAAAATTCTCAAAGTTCTTTTCTGGAAAAAAAAAATTTATTTGTTGCGTTTGACTTGTTCCTGTATAGCCTACACTTGGAGTCGCAACTTCGGATTCAGCTTTATTGTATGTAATCCTATCTCCCGTCGGATCTTACTTCAAAGCTACAGATCAGCAAGTCGGGATTTCCCTGCTTGCAGATCCTAGGTATACGAGAGCATGGCCTGGCGGTTGTGGTAATGCTAAATTAGGCAGCAATTATGGACCTACAATTCAAGTTCAACAAGAAGCTACCGAAAAAGGTTTACACCAAGTATTGTGGCTGTACGGTGAAAACAATGAACTTACAGAAATTGGCACTATGAACATCTTCGTTGTTTATACAAATAATAACGGAGGTAAGAAGCAACTTTTGGTAAATTTTATAAAATGTTTGTGAAAAAAGTATAGGAAGGAAGAATTTAATCTGATTTAATGATTTAGTTTAGAAATCCAATTACTATTCCTATGTTATTTTATACAGAAAGGGAACTACTTACACCATCTTTAAATGGTTTGATCTTACCCGGAGTTGTAAGAAATTCGCTTTTAGCTATATCTAGGCAATGGAATCAATATAAAGTTACGGAAAGACCTATTACGATGAAAGAGATTATACAATTAAATTCAGATAATAGGGTAAGATTTACGTATGCAACATTGTTTTTCCTCTTTTCTTCTCTCTCTCTCTCTCTCTCTCTCTCTTAGCATATTATCTATTATTACAATTAATTTTTTTGTTATAGCTGTTGGAAATATTCGGAGCAGGAACAGCGTGCGTAGTCAGTCCTGTATCTTATATTAACTTCCAAGGTGAAGAATTGCATATACCAACGACAGAACAACCTGAAGCAATTTATCAGATGCTCAAGAAACGTTTATTGGATATACAGTATGGTATTATACCTGACCATCCATGGAGTTTAATCATTGAGTAAAATATGAATGATATAAGATTATATTAATTATTTTAATCTACTTAGTAAAATATTTAAAAATCCTTAAATTTAAAGGAAAGACTGTTAAGTCTTTAATTAATCCTCAATAAAGAGTAATTAAAGGGTAAAATATTCACGAAGGATTAGCGTAACCCTCTGATTTTAAATTAGTGTTATATTAAAGTTAATATTAAAATGATATTAATACTAAATTAATATTAGTTGCATAAGCATAGATAAAACTGTCTTGGATCAATGAACGTAAAACTCATTTTATATTAGATACAAGTCAATTGCAAGTTTGTTGCGACAGCCAATCTGAAATTTGCATTATGAAATCAACGTTTCAGTTGACTCGCAACAAACTTGCGTCTAGTGTAGCATAGGTTTTAGGCTGTTCATTGATCTAGATATTTCAGCTGGTCTTATGCCTAATAAGCCTTATTCTATGCAGCTTATATCATTTTGTAATAGTTCTAAAGTATAAAATAATTCGAAAACTATTGATTTTTCGATATCTTTATCTTAATACTTTTATATGCAGAATAATTAGAACAATTATAATATGTAAAGAAATGATATAATTCCATTAAAAAACTTTTGATGACTTTGACCTGACATTTTCTCAAGGCTAACTAAGATTATTATCTTCTTTTCCTTTAATAACTGAACTTTTGAAAACAGTTTTTTTCTTGTCTTAAGGATTTTGAGATATTCTATTAGATGGATTAAAATGGACAACCATTTTATATATAACGCGCGCGCGCGCGTGTGTGTATGTGTGTGCGGGCGCGTGTATGTATATATGTCAGTGTCGGAACTAGATATTTTGACGTTAGAGGAAAAAAAAAGTGCGCCCCTCAGTAACAAAAACACTTTTTGTACGGCATGTATAATATGTAATAAGAGATAATATTAATTAATAATATTTAATATTAATTTAGTATTAACATTAATTTAATAGAAACATATAATAGTAATATGTACATTATAAATATACAGACTATGTGTATGTACATATATGTATGTCATAAACAAACACAACATAGTTCACAGTAGAATCAGAATGTATACGTATACCATTATAGATAATATTAATGTATAATATGTATATTTATATATTTATATAAATAATATCAATTTTTATAAAAATTCATAGAAGATATGTTTTTCATTTAAAGTAATATCGCACGATCTTATCTATGCATCCGATATAGGTTCCTATTCTCGAAAAGTATCGCATATGAAGAACTAGAGAATCGGCGATCTTCTTTTTACAATACATTGGCTGCATTTAGCAGAGGAAGCAGCATTGCAACTGTTGTAAAATTCTTCAATATGATTTGTTTATACATTTAGATCCACAAAGAATCCAAAAGCAAGAATCAATCGTATTGAAAAAATTTACAACAGTTGCAAAGTTGCTTTCTTTGCTGAGCATAATCACTATTTTACATTTTTATTATTTACATTATTTTGTATACAACTTATTCGATATTAAAATATAATGTATACCAATAAAAATTAATAAGAAATATATTTCAGATAAAAAAAACTATAAAATATAAAGTTACAATATATAATAGTTCACTGAAAATCATTTTATAAGGCTATACTATTATACTTTTATCAAATACGTTGCGGTTATTATGCATTTTGTCTAAACTATATTTTATAATTTATTTGATAAATAAAGTAATATCTTTAGATTAAAATTTCATCGGATTAACCGTAGAAGCCCTCCACCACCCCCGTCGAGTCCGGCGGTTCCCTTTTCCTCAAACACATAGGTATAGTAAAAAAGTCCTCTTATAAAAATTGTCCAATCATAATAAAATATTCTTCTTACAATCGACTATAAATGATCGACAATAATTTCATAAGGTTTGTTGCACCCCTATTGTGTTTCAGAATTTACACGGGTCATACTGTAAAACTGTAGTTTGGAAAATCGGGATAACTTTGACACAAATTTTCACAACGCCCAAATAACACGCATGTCAAAATCTAAACATAAAAAAATCTTTAAAAAATCCTGATTTTGGATATGCGTGCTTAAGCATTTTTCAAAATTAGAGTAAATGATATCTCGACAAAAATTACCCCCATAAGAATAAAAGGTTAACAAATGCAAGTTTCACTTACCTATTAAATGAGTAACGACGCCTACCTCATCCAGAGCGGACAATCTGTCTCGAATCTCGAGCTGTCACCAGTTGTCATGTCACGTCCCGCAAATGAAACGTGAACGCGTTAGGATAGCGAAAAAGCTTCATTCGCGGATCGCGAACAACAGACAGACGTTTCGCGCGCCAAACAAAAAATTCAAAGCCAGACGGCAGACGCGAAGCGACGATGACGTTGCGGCCTACGCAAATGGCCGCTGCCGCGCACTACTGCCCTCTGACAAAGTGGATGTGAACTACATAGCAAGGTTCAAGTTTTCCAAGGCTGCGGATAATAAACCGATATTACCCTCAGAACAGTGGACCTTGCTATGTAATTTACATTCACTTTGTCAGGGGGCAGTAGTGCGCGGCAGCATTTTGCGCCATTTTACGGTTCGAGGTTTTGAGCCGTGTGAAGTCATGTCTTCTCTCAGGTTTCTCTCTGCGTACCGGTAGAAGCTTCCAAACATTACGCGAAAAAGTTTGGCATGGTCACATTGACTTTCATGTTTTTCTCTGTTATTCTCTGCTATGAAGCTTGTTCCTGCTCTTCTCGTTAGTATATATATTTTTTGTGATGTCGCAGAGTGATGAGGGAGCAGAGGTGGCATACATACGTCACTGGTTCGCGGTGCATCATAGTGTACACAGTGCACACCGACCTGCACCGCTAAATATACATATCGATACATATATGTACGTATACCGCGTATCGTATCGTCAGTATCGTGCGATAATGTCAAGCGCTGCGTCAGCTGGTCACTGTTGTGAGTCACTATCATCCATTATCAGTATTATCAGTATTATCAGTATTACCAGTATTACCGTGATCAGTGTGACACTCAGAGTGAAGCGTGATCGTCAGAGTGACCGTGTGACGAGGTGTTCTGACTTCCAACCAAAAATTCGCGGCAGCATAAATTGGTACATATACCTACGGTATTGTATGAGACGCGCATGCGATACACAATAATGTGAGATACACGATAATGGTTGGAAAGGAGAGGATATCTGAGGATACCATTGCGATTGTTGTCGCGTCGCATCGAATCGTTCTTTATCATTTGTGAATTCTGATTTCTCTGGATAACGCATCACGCATGTACGCGCGCGCATGCAGTTCCTTTTGGGCGGTTTGCGAGACTCGGACACTGCGAGACAGCGAGATAACGTGGCTCTCGGCTCGATCGCCAGATTCGCGAGCGGGATTTATGTCACTACGGCTGTAATTTTCGTAAGAGGCGAAAATCATCGGAATACTCCTTGCCATGTTCCTCTCTCTCTCTCTCTCCCTCTCTCTCTCTTCCTCTCTTCCGTTTTATGTTCGGTTATGCACGTTTTTCTTCGCGCTCGTGCAAAGTTCATCTCCGTCGATTCGTCATCGAGATAGCGCGAGGGTGACAGCTCTGCGACAAGAGTCGCGTCTATCATAGTCTCGTGATCGCTGCCCACGCGCGGCGACAACTATCGCTGTTTGTTGAACTCACGAAGCTTGAGCGTGCTCGAGTTCTGACAATAAATCGCCGGTCGCCCAACAGCTCAACGGAATGTCTATTAATCTGAGTGAGGTCGATCCGTTCAGTGAGATGGAGCTGCCTGTGGAGCAAGAATCCTACGAAGGTACGACAATAAGACACACGAGACGTCCGATGATTTCGATCACATGATCGTCAAAGAACGATTATCATCTAAGGGACGATAGGGACGATCAAGCGCTTGTTTGATACGCTCGCGACCATCATATTTAGGCGCGTCGTTCAGCGGACTTGACAGTCCGCTAAATAAGTGCTCGCTGCTATTCTTCTAGAGATCTAAACGTTTGATGATCTCGTTGGATGATCTCGAGATTCTAGAGAAGGAATATATACACCAATAACAGCGAGCTCTCATTCAACTGTTGAGTCTTCTGAACGTAATTATTGACAGAGAAAATTGATTGGTAAGTGCTGTTTTTTAAGCTTTTTTTTTTCTTTAATGCAGAGTCAGTTTCTACACTTGTAGATCCAGCGAAAAACTAAGAGTAAAAACCAATTGTATTAAAGAATTACTGAGTCCTCTTGTACTAATCAGTTTTCTCTGCGCAGTGATTTGTTAACTCGCTTTCGTCATTTCTTATCGCGAGTAGACGCTGTGTATTCGCGAGATATTTAAATTTGGAGATCCTTGGGAGTGCGCGCGCGCTTGAGCGTGTTGCACACGAATTTTTTCCGTGACATTTCAAGTATTCTAAAATTTATTAGTGTCATTTGATAGACCGAGTTTGCTTATCTATTTAGACTTTTCTTTTTACAACAATACACAAGTATCTCCCAAAAATATCAATTATAAGAATTTCAACAAAAATCATAAATATTTGTGTAAATGTTTATTTGTATTTAAAAGATTTTATTTTTATTTTTTTTCCGAGTATCTTTTCTCGAAAACATGTCAATGCTTTAGAAAGTGCTTTATAAATAATTTTTACTTATTTAATATATATTTATTTCTACCTTTTGCTTTTTGTAAAATCCAATCTATGCACGATAAAAATCCGAGCGTGTAAAATTATTATTTGTTAATATTATATAATTGCTAATTATTGAAAAAATATTAGATGTGTAATGATTCAATTTTTGTCTCGTACAAAGATGACCAAGCAATAGTGGAATCAAGTCCAAAGAACAATATAGAAACTAATGCTGTGAGTGAAGCTGATTACGCTGAGCCTTTGACCCCGGAAGAAATACGGTGGTTTTATAAAGACGGCGTTGACAAAAGGTGGAACGAATTTTGCGGGTACGACAGTTTAAGAATTGAGAGAATTTATCAAGAACGTCAGAATTTAATTAGCGAAAGTAATGATGGAACAAATGGTTTGCCACCCGCTGAAAAAATTGTGGTTAGAGGTGGCATGTACGATATCGAAATAGATAATATGAAATGCGTTTCGATATATTGGCCAGGTGAATATATCACATATTTTATTTCCCTTTTAGTTGTATTCTATTCTTTACACCATTGCATATTTATTAATTACTTTTGCCTATTACCAAAGTCAACTCGTGTAGCACAGAATTTATGCACAAGTGCTTGCTAACTTTGTAGGCATTGCTGGGCTACGTGAAAATAATAGTGCCAATAATAATGAATCGACAATTGATACAAATATCCATGAATGCTTTAATAATGATTCAATGCCTCTTTAGATTTCTGTATATTTTTCCATTGTGCATGCAGTAATGTATGTCTTTATACTGCACAAATTACTTTGTCCTTGAAGTTATTATAGCCAATTCGTATTGACTATGCCTATTATGACTTGCAACATGTGCAAAACAAATATAACACAGACAATACATTCGCTGTAATAAAGAATTTATTCAGAGCTCTCAGTAAAATATATTAGTTATTATTTATATATATCACAATCAAAGTGTTAATTTAGTAAATGTATACACTTATTAATTGGATAAATAAATATATTCACAAGCATACAATGAAATTTAAAGTTGTTATGAGTAACGATAACGATTTCATGGTAACTAATTATTTTTATCGTTACTTTATCTCATAAATTGATTTCTAGCAAAAAAATTACGTCGCGAAACAATTTTCACATTTTATGTATAGTCTTTACATAAGACATGATAAATTTTATCTATTGGCAATGCTATCATTGTT